TCGCCTATGACGAGGGCAGCCACTCAGCAGCGCGACGAGCTGGAAATTGAGCTCGTGTGGAGCGGGCGCTTAGGGGACGGACAGGGTTTCGAGCGTGTTCGCCGCGTCGTGTAACAGGCGTGGAAGCGCCCGTACAAGACAGGGGGGACGTGCCAAGCGGGGTAAGCGGCGCCCGCGGGCGTCGTCTGTATTTTTAGCCTTGCAGCGCGAGCGCGCTGTATATAGTACACTTCGGGGAGAAAGGGACAGTGTAATTGGAAATATGTATATGATGTAACCTTGTCTTCGATCGTGTTAGTGACCGCGATTCCGATGGAAAAGGCAAGGGCTTGACTGAACTTGTGGTCTGATCGTGTGTGCACCCTTGCTTTTGCGGCATGCACACAGCCATCACTAAAAGCAGTCCGACGCCATACTTCAATAGAATAGGTTTTATCGATAGTCAACGCCAATAAAGCTCATGAATTTGATTGGTAACCGCAGAAAAAAAGAGAATTATGTACCTCCCCGCCATCCGCCACTTTGATCGATTTCCACATCCGAAAAAGCATCAAAGAAAACTGCAAAAACCACCTCTTTCTTACTCGCTCCGGGTATGCTAGTCATAATCGTCATAGTCATTAGTGCTACAGGCCGTGTCCTCGTTGCAGGTTGCAGAGATCTTGTGAGTCGTTCGGTGTCAGGTTGAGACTTTTTCCGACAAGCGTGCTGGAAGACCGTGAACGTTGCTCGGAGGTGGCGAGACATTTCTAAACACGCTGGCCTCATCGAAGGATTCGCCTGCCGAAACAAACGATGCAGATTGTCGCGGACTCAACAATGGTGTAAGACTTCGCTGAAGGGCTCCCGAATCTCCAACCCGCAGGTCCGGCGTCAGATGAAAGCTGTGCGAGGGTCCTCGTCCACGTTCAGGATCTAACGGTATCGGCTGCGACGGCTGTCAAACGATACTTCGTGCTCGTAGAAACGGTCGTCGTAGGCTGAGGCTGGGCGAGAGTCGTGGATAGACTTGCGCTCAATCTCGATTTCCCGAATGCGGCTCTTGCGCTTACGACGAATCTCGTCGGAGATCTCCACGAGGTGCAGAACGTCCTCCTGAATGAATGTCAGTATATTGCACCTTGTGCAAGGCATTACAAACTTACGTATCGCAGGTACTCCATGACGTAGAAAAAGTCGTCGGTCTCCTCGCATGAGTAGCCGCACGAGTCGATGGCTTCGCGGAGGACCAAGTCCTTTGTGATTTCGGTCCACATGTCCTTCTTCTTCTGCTTCACCGATCCCTGGTTATAAATGTCAGTGGTGTGTTCATCGTCGCCGCTGATGAACTTTGATCTGCGAACGCCGTTGTAGCGCTGCCAGGTGATCTCTTGGGCAGCACCACCGATGCCATCCATGCGCACACGACTGGTGCCGGGTGGCACGTCGATGATGGACCAGTCTTTGGTAACTCCGTTCCAAGCTTCACCAGGGTAGGCTCGCTCAAGTGCTTTGCGGTTGTAGAACTCGGCTTCCAAATCAAAGTCCATATCGGGCATGGGGGCTGTGTGCACACGCCCTGGGGGGCTAAACGACCGCTCGCGGTGACGTACCTGGTCGCGGTTGAAGTTGATATCAATATCGAGCTCCTCGAAGTTGCTCCTTCCACGTCCACGGCTGTGGCTCCTGGCGAAATGTTAGGTTGTGTGTAATGGCATGTAAAGTGACTACTCACTCTCGTCTGTTGATCTCGATCTCGAGGGTCTCGTTTAGTGGAGGGGGAGGAGACGGGGGCGCCGGTGGGGGAGGCGGTGTTGGCGTGCGGGCCCTGACGACACCTGTACGACTGTCAGTGTTGAACCTGGATTGTATTAGCCACAACACTTACCATGGTCGATGTGTCGGTGATGTGTGATGATCTCCTGGATGATCGGGGGACGGATCTCTGGCTCGGGAGCTGGCGCTGGGGGTGGAGGAGGCGGGGATGGAGAGGGCGAAGGAGTGGGTGCGCGCTCCTCCTTGCGGCGGATGATGATCTCGTCTCTTATGACTTCGCGGTTGTTCTGGGGAGGAGACTCGGCGCGTGGACGGCGGATGACAAACTCCTCGCGCTCCCTAGCGATCAGATCGCCGCGGTTGCGCGATGGGGGAGGGAGACTCCTCTCGCGGTTTCTAATCGTCAAGGAGCTCCTCTCTCTGCTGGTGTCCCTGCCATCGCGGCTGAATTCTCGGCGGTTTGCGCGGAGCTCGAAGTTACCGTCACGCTCCTGGAAGCGGATAGAGCCTCGTTCAGCAGAGACGTCCCTGCCGTGGCGGCTGACTTCGCTGCGAGACGCGTGGAAGTCGATGTCGTTTCCACCGCGGCCCCTGAAGCGCACATCATCGTCGTCCACCTGACGCGGGGCGGGTCGGCTGACAGATCTCACAGGGGGGCCATCGCCACGGCGGAAGATGATGTCGTCGCGCTCTGGCGGGCCACGGGACTGCTCGCGGCGCTTGATGGTAATGTCCGTCTCGTCAATGTCGTCTGCTCGTCCGCGGCGCGTAGGGGCCTCGCTGTGACGGATGCTGATGTCGTCCCGCTCCATGCCCCGCATAGCAGAGGGCGGAGGCGGGGGACGGCTCCGGGTAGAGCGCACATCGTCGTCGAAACCGCCGCGGCTGCTGCGGGGTCCTGCTCGTGAATAGTTGTCCTCATCGCGGCTCCTCAGAACCATGGGGCCAGCTGTCGGGCGGTTGTAGTCCTCGCGGAAGAAGTCGGGGGCACTGCGCCTGGGGTCCGGGCCAGTGCCGCGGCGCAGCTCGAGGTCAAGCTCCTCGTAGTTGCGATCGCTGCGGTTTCCATTGCGGTAGAAGTCGCGCTCTCGCTCCTCATAGAGCTCAGCGGTTGGGTAGCGTCGCGACGACATTGTGCGGCTAAGCGACAAGTGAGCGACGGGCGGGGGGTGTGGTGGTGGGGTGACGTGCCGCTCTCACAGGAGACGGCGGATGGGCTGGAAGAAGGAACACGGGCAAGTTGGTACGGGAAGGGGAAGAGGGATGGTTATCAAGGTAAGCAGAAGAATGGACTTGTGCCGTGGCCTGACGTTATCGAGAAGGCTGGCCCAGTTGACTCCCCGGCGAGAGTAGTGGGGTTGGTAGCAGGACCAAGGTCGGGCGCTGTCTCGCTCTTCTGCAATGACGTAACCTCCACGCTGCACTAAACCACCCACCCTGATCACCAGCATGCTTCCTGCCCAATGGCCGCCAAAGCCGCTGCACCTCTGGCCCAGTTCGCAGCAGCAGAGCAGAAGCAGTCGCCTGCACGCATACTGCCCGTCGCTGCGAGCGCATGGCTGCGAAAATTTAGACATCTGTCTTCTGTCATGTGTCACTCGGCACGTTCACAGCCATCGCTCCCACGAGGCGTTCTGGGGCTGCTTGTGTCAGTCTCACCAGAGCACCGCCCAGGTGGAAACGCGCCGATTGACCCTGGGGGCCTTCAACCAGATTCCAAGGTCGGAGTCAGGTACAGTTCGGGCGCCACATGGAGTCGCTACCTGACCGAACGACAGCCGCGCGAACTCTCTTACCACGGAACTTGGACCCATCGAGACAGCCTGATCGGCGCACTCGAGGTCCTGTCGTTGGTGAATCTCACCAGATCTTCGTGCCCAACAGCGTGCGACGGCGCGAGGCGACCCGCCTGTACCTCATGCTGATCTCGGCGTGAACTTCATCTCTTGGATATCCCTTCACATTAAACCTCACTCCCTAACGTGTCAGACTTCGATGAACTGCTGACTTGATTCTCGTGCGCTGCCCCCCGGCACAATCCCTCTCTCGCCCAGCATCCCATGCAAGATGACGTTGTTCGGGCAGACTACCTTGGACTGCAATTTCCCCAGGTAGCGATGGCATTCCAAGTCACTCTGGTAGTAACCAATAAGCAAAAATTCTTTTGCGCGACTTACGAGGTCGTGGTCGGTGGAATGTTGCGAGATATGGCGAGAGCAAGCCCTGGGCAGCCCTGCGAGTCGGACGATGTGGCATGTGAGCATGCCCTACGTCATTGCGAAGCTTCTTGAAGTAGTCCAGGCTTTCGTATACTCGTAAGTATTTTTCGCTGTTCCAACGCTCAGAATATAGAAACATAGCCATGGAGTCCCAGAGACTTGGAGGCTGCACTAGACATCGTTGTACCTCCAGCCTGGTGCGGCAGGTGCGGCGCGACGGTTACGCTAACATGCGAACTTCGACGCAACCTGAGCTCGTCTGTCACCTTCTACCCGCACACCTCCACTCGTATTCTTCTATGCGCTTTCTATTCTGCATTCCTCTCGGTGTCTGTCTCTCGCATGTGGAGTTCCTCCTTGTTTCTTCAACAATAGTGCAACCGTAGAGTTCCTTCATCTCCATTTCTACTGAGTTTGCTAGCCCCGTGTGGCCTTTTCAATTAAATGTATTTGCTCACAAAACCCGCGATGTTTTCGATTTGTATTGATAGATGTAATCATGCTGTCGAGAATCAAAGACCAGCACGACGTTCGACTGGCTTTTCTAGGTGTAGACCCCAAACACTACCCTAAAAGTATTCAGTAATTTTCGTGTCTATCCAAAGCATAAGCCAGTCACATCGTACTTTCCACAGTATACTTGATGTTTTTCAATCAGTCTTTAAGAGCGCACGTCTTTCTACAGTCCCAGTTCTCAGCATGGTTGTACAGCGCTGCTTTCCCGCTTATCGGCAGCATCACCTCTGAATCCACAGTTGCTTGTCCTCACTCATCTCGCAATCGCGCTTGCTTCGAGTTTTGTGTATTTTGGAGCGTTGCTTGATTGGGTGAGCGATTCGTTTGCCGTGGCTAGACCGCACCTTCCTCACGTTCACCGGCGACTGCATGTTTACATCTCACCGCGCGAGCTTCACGTCGCAGGCCACAACAACATAGCTCTCCAGGGCTGCGTATTCAGCCATCGTCTATCACTTCATATCTCAGCACGTATTGCATCCACTCGTTGACGAACAATCACCGTCAAACATGGGGCGAGGCGCTCGTCTCAGGTCAAAGCGAGCCAACCAATGGGCAACCGGCAGCACGGCTTCTCACAGAAACCCGCAAGCACCGCAAAACAACAATGCGTACGCAACTCTGGGAGCATTGGAGTATGAAGGTAAGTCTTGTCTCGCATCCTGTTACGCGGCAGCAATACCAGCTCCGCACACATCTTACCGAGAGCTCTCACCTTCGCTTCTACTAAAAACCAAGATGAACAACTCTAAAATCAAATTAGATCAAGAAATGAATGCCGACCTCACGGAGCGGTTCCGGGGCATGCCTTCCATCTCTTCCGAACCCAATTACATCCCCCACGATGACATTCCCAGGTCCGGACGGCCCAGGCCCAACAACGATATACGGGAGTACTTCGAACTAGCCAAGCTGCAAGTCGCTGGTGGGGCATGGCTGGGCAAGCCCGAGATCCCTAGTCCCTCGGAAATATTACGCCCAGAATCTGATATCAGAAACGGCAACGAAGCACTCATCGAGGTTGACGAAACCATTCGCCCACACAAGCCAGAAGGTGCATACAAGGACGAAGAAGAATATCTGGGAACCAAGTACGAGCTACTACGAGAGGACGCAGTCCGATCACTCCGCGAGATCATCAGCGAGGTTCGCGCAGATCCTTTCAAAGATGAGGCGGAATACAGCGACCAGAGTATTGGTATCTACGATCCCGTGTACATCACATCACTTGTGTTTTCACTGCGAGGGCTCGCAACGCGTGTTGCCTTCTCACTCAGCCGAGTCAAAAAGCACATTCGGTAAGCCATGGCATGCGTTTTGATGCTTGGTACTAGCTAACAATTCCAGATGGGAGCAATCGAAGAGATTGATAACTGGCACCCTTGTTGCCTTGTCGCCTACCGACGATGCGTTTCAAACCCAATGCGTTCTGGCAGTAGTCGCAGCCCGCCCCATCTCTGCACTAGAGCAAAATCCGCCTGAGATCGATCTGTTCTTCGCGCGTCCGGAAGACCAGGAGATAGATCCAATGCGGAAGTGGATCATGGTGGAATGTCGGAGCAGCTTCTTCGAAGCCAGTAGACACACTCTACTTGCTCTTCAGCACCTCATGAGAGAGCCGTTCCCGCTGTCGAAGTATCTGGTGCATGTTCAACAGGAGGTTGAGCCTCCACGTTACATCAAGCATAACCCTTTTATCAATCTAAGCTCCCTCGTCAGCATGGAGGAGAGTACAGCATACGAGAACGTCAACGTATTGGAGGATTGGCCTACCATGTCCTCGCACACCCTCGACAATTCTCAGAGCAAGGCTTTGAAACGGATGTTGACAAGCGAGCTGGCTATTGTGCAAGGCCCTCCAGGAACAGGAAAGACGTTCGTGTCTGTCGTGGCACTGCAAATCGCCCGCGATAACCTACGCAGAGATGACTCTCCTATCATTGTTACTGCACAGACAAACCACGCTCTTGACCAGCTACTCAGACATACGTCACAGTTTGAGCCCAACTTCATTCGCCTGGGAGGAAGAAGTAAGGACAAGGAGATCAAGAAGCGAACGTTGTTCGAAGTCCGCCAGGATCTTCCCCAGCAGAAACAGCCAGGCAGCCAGAAGGTTCAAGCTACCATCGCACTGAGGAAACTGACGGTTCAGTGTCAGCTGTTACTGGCACCTTTGGAAGCCAACAAAGGACCTCTCGACCACAAAGTCTTGGAGGGTCTAGGGTTGATGACCAAGGAGCAGGCCGAATCGCTCGAAATGGACTCACAGTATACTATGGGCGGTTCATCGACCGATAGTCCGGGCATCTTGATGGAGCAATGGCTTGGAAGATGTCTGGCTCCGTGCGATCGTCCGATTGGGCCAGACCAGTTCGACTGGGGATACGAAGAAGAAGACCTGGAAGTGGAACAGCTCAAGGAACTCGAAGCAGAAGCCGTGGCTCAGGACGACGACGATATCGAAGCTCTCCGTGGAGAAGTGGTATTGCTACGTGACAACCACAAAGGTACTGGAGCGTCGCTGAACAATGCCGATATCGCGAACATCTTACGGAAGACGGACGATCTGACGATGATTCCTGTTACCCAACGCGGCACCATCTACAACTACTTCAAGCGGGAGGCCAAGAGAATGATTACCACCGAAATCCGCAAGATCGCTAAAGGCTACCAAGAAGCAGTCTTCCAACGTAAGGCAGGCATGTGGGAAGAAGACGTGCGTGTTCTCAGCAAAGCGCGCATCATTGGCTGCACCACAACAGGTCTAGCAAAGTATCGCGCTCTACTTTGCGCTCTTCGACCACGCATCTGTATCGTCGAGGAAGCAGCCGAGACATTGGAGGCGCCTGTCACTGCAGCCTGTTTCCCGAGCATGGAACACCTTATCTTGGTCGGGGATCATCAACAGCTGCGACCCCATACCCAAGTGCGTGCATTTGAAGATGAACCCTACTTCTTGAACCTGTCATTGTTCGAGCGTCTAGTCTGGAACAACGTCGCATTCGAGACACTCACCAGACAACGTCGTATGATTCCAGAGATCCGACGTCTCTTGTACCCCATCTACCAGGATACGCTCAAGGATCACAAGAGCGTGAAAAATCTCGATAATCGTCCCCCAGTCGAGGGCATGGGCGGCAACAACAGCTTCTTCTTCTGCCATGAGTGGCAAGAGTCCCGCGACGCCAACATGTCGGCAGTAAACGCAGCTGAGGCAAGGATGATCGTTCAGTTCTTCGACTACCTAGTCCTCAACGGTGTAGATGCCACCAAGATTACCATCTTGACCTTCTACAATGGCCAACGCAAGCAGATCCTCCGAGACATAAGGGCGCATCCGAATCTGCGAATGTACCCCGGCATCCAGGTTGTCACAGTGGATAGTTACCAGGGCGAGGAAAACGACATCGTCCTTCTTTCTTTGGTGCGGTCGAATCACAAGCACTCTATTGGCTTCCTGAGCTCTGAAAACCGAGCTTGTGTCGCGCTGTCTCGAGCGAAGCGTGGCTTCTACATCTTCGGGAACGCAGAGCTTCTAGCCTGCGAGAGTGGTACGTGGGCTTCTGTGGTTGATATCATGTTCAAAAACAAGAAGTCCAAGCCAGCTACAGGTCAAGAGCGACGCGTGGGTTATCAGTTCCCGCTGAAATGCCGCAACCACGGACGCAAAATATGGTGCGAAGTGCCCGAAGATTTCGATCTCATCAAAGGCGGCTGCGACATCAAGTGCGAAGGCTCGTTGCCGTGTGGTCATCGCTGCCCGTACCCATGTCACCCCTTCGAGCACGACATGATCAACTGCACACAGAAGTGCTCCAAGCGTGTCGAGGCCTGTGGTCATCCTTGCGTCGCGGAGTGCTGCGATCCTTGCAAGTGCCACATGTGTGAGCGGCGCAGTGGAGGCGTCAAATCAACGCTGAAACCAGCAAACGGGGCAACGTCGTTTCGTGGAGCCCGGCCAAACACGCGAAGCTTGATGCTCGAAAACACGCTGCCTGCGACCTCTAGACGTGGTGTGCGCTCCGACACTGCACGCATGACGACTCCAGGGCTATCGGACTGCAGTACCGTGCAGTGGGATGTATACGCTAATGGCGGTGGTGTCCAGGAAGATGACGCGCGAGCCTTTGCAAAGATGAAAGCAGAGGAGGCCGAATACCACGCCCGTAGGGCATCTACACCCCAGACTGGCGTTTCCGCTTCAGATGGCAGGCTTATCGAGATGTCGCCAGTGAAAGCAGGACCTGTGTCCAAGAACACAAACCTGCTCCTGGAACTCGACTTTGAGCCAGAGCATAACCAACAGACGAGCCGGGCGCATGCGAGTGCTGCAAATGCCTCTTTCAGTCTGCTCGATTGAACGACTCATGGTAAAGAAGCCGTCACATGTACATTTCAAAATCTTTAGCTAACTTTTTGTTAGTATGTATCCTCGTAGGTACCACTCGTGGGTGGAGTATTTTAGACGATATGGCAGCATAGAACGAGGGTTTCTGTCTTGCTGTAGTACCTTCGCGCTAACAACTGGATGGGCCTCATCTCATGCCCGGGGTATATAGCTGAATGTGCAAATCGCTCCATCATATCCTCCATGCTTAGTCCTTCCTATCCCCGTCCATTTTGACCTCGAACACCTCGCCTGCCAACTTTGCGACCTCACCACCCAGTCCAGCAAGCCCGGCCTTGATACCCTCAACCATTTGAGGCGTCAGGTTGCCGTTCCGCGAATAGAAGTCTACGCCCGCAGGCGTGAACAGGGTCTTCGCGAAGTATGTCACGACCCAGCCGTTTCCTGTGCCTTCCTCATCACCATAACCCAGTATTTCCCACTTGCTCGTCGCAATCACCAACCATCCCTTGCCACGCCAGTTGTATCCTAGACTCGCTACACCCCCCTCTGCATCTGGCGCTGAGGCCGTGTTCGGCACGTCGAACGGCTTATCCACACCATGCACCGTCTTGATCTTCTCAGAGCCGAGGGATTGGTACGTGACGACGTCGTCGATTTGCGCGGGCTGCGTGTCGGGAATGGCCGTGTAGGTGATGCGTACGTTGCGCGACTTCTTCCACATAGGAAGCGTGGAGTGAGTTACATTCCAGGAGCCCGATAGCCATGACAGAGTGGGTGGTGCGAGCGAGGGGGACGGTTCGGTAGCCGGCAGGGACGATGGAGCGCGGAGGGTTACCATGGTGAGGCGGTTGGTGATTGGTGGTGTTTGTGGAGGTGGACGCGTGGAATCTGGAGAGATTTTGTGGGTATCTCGAGGATGATGACGATTGGCGAGTGTTGATGATGATGAATTGGCGGTCGATGAGGTTGGACGGACAACGGATTTTTTTTTTTGACGTGGCTGGTTGGGCAGCGGTGTGGTGTGGTGTTCCGCGCGCAGAAGTCGCGATGGTGTTGCGATGCTCGGTCGCCCGACACGAGAGATGTCGAAGCTGCTATATGCTTCATATTTACTTTTCACTAGCTGTAGATCTCAATCCCATCTCTACTCATCATCGCGTCTGCCATCATCATCAACACTCGATAACGCGACAGGGCTAGCAGATCGACGCTACCGGGAGCCAGTGCAGCCGGATGCACGTGCCAAGCCACCAGCCGCAGCCCGCCACTCCAACAATAGATCGTCGTGTCCATGGAAAATCGGACAACCTGACATCACCATGCCGCGCGCGGACGCGTAACGCCCTTTCCCACGGCAGTCTTGGTCGTCTGCCACAGCCATGTCCCGCCAGCAACGGACTTCCCAGAACCCGATGTCGCCAATTAATGCATCAAACCCATGTTTCGACTGCGTCGCGGCAGCTCTCGGTTGGCCGGGGGGTGACGAGGCCTGAAACTCTTGCACCAGTTTGTCCGCGTCGCCTGCGCGGGCTGTGCAAGAGTACGAGAAGGCCGTTTGTGAAAATGCTCCGCGTGGCTCCACTCTTTGTGGCAGTTTGTGGCAGTTTGATGGTTGGTAGCGCGCCACTTTTTTTCTCTTGGGGCCCAGCTACCAGCTGTTTGCAAATGATTACTGTATACGGGTCTGGGTGGCTAGGCTGAGACGACTGCTGCGTAATGGTATAATAGCAGATGTGACCCCAGGGTCTGCTGCTTCTGGAGTAACTCATTTTGCTTTTTACAACGGTTTTATACACTGAGCGATATCGTCCTTCACCTTGTTTGGGAGTATCTGATTGACTGCTTGATCTACGACTTACGACTTCCGTTTGACGACGACAACGACCAACGGCTACTATACCGTACGAAGAGAAGGACTATCACACACACAACTCACACAACATGTTTTCAAGAAGCATACTACTCCAAGCTGCGGCTCTTTTGCCCTTACTCTACACACCCGCCTCTGCACAAAATGCCTGCAACAACTCACCCGATCTATGCACCCGGCCATACAACAACATCACCTACCTAGGCGCACACAACTCGCCCTTCCTCCGCAACAAAGACACATCCTTCTCCACATCCGGAAACCACTACTACAACACAACAATACAACTCGACGCGGGCGTGCGCCTCCTCACTGGCCAAGTCCACAAATCCAACGACAGTGGCAACGCAGCCTGGCACCTCTGCCACAGCAGCTGCGACCTCCTCGACGCCGGCACACTAGAAAGCTGGCTCGGCGAGATAAAAACCTGGATGGACGCCAACACAAACGACGTCGTAACACTCATCCTCGTAAACTCAGACAACGCATCCCCCGCTGATCTCGGTGGCGTCTTCTCCTCCTCGGGCCTCGACAAGCTCGCCTACAGTCCGCCAGACCAGACCACCGTGCCGCAAACATGGCCTACGCTCGACACCCTCATCGGCAACAACACGCGCCTCATGTCCTTCGTCGCCAGCCTGGATGAGCCCTCGGCGGAATTCCCATACCTCATGGACCAATTCACATACGTGTTCGAGAACGACTTCGAGAACATCTCCCCGTCGAACTACTCCTGCAACCCGTCCCGCCCATCTGCCGTCGCTGGAAACCCATCTACAGCCCTCGAATCCGGTCGCATGTTCCTGCAAAACCACTTCTTGTACGAGACGCAGTTGTTTGGCATCCAGTCGCCCAACGAGACGTATGCGAATGTAACGAATGCCGAGACGGGCTTTGGTAGCTTGGGTGAGGCCGTGCAGGAGTGTACGACTGTTTATGGAAAGCCGGCGAGCTTTGTCATGGTAGATTTCTTCAACGTGGGACCCGCGATTGCAAGTGTCGATCGCGCGAACGGTGTTAGCGGTGCGCAGGGAAGGAAGCAATTGAGCACAGAGCCGCTGGTGCAGAGCACTGGTGCTGGTGTGAAGGAGAGTGGAAGTCTACTGGCTGTCGTCTTGGCAGTCGGTGTTGCTGTCCTGTTCGGAGCGTGAAGTTGGGATTAGATGTACGGCATCTTGGATTACCTGCATGGCGACGGCGTTTCGGTCTTTGGATCCTGAGCTTTGACTCGGATATGGGTTATACTGGGTGGCATGGATTTGACTTCGTTTTGGGACAGAACGATTGACACGGCACTTATTATACTTTGCTACGTCTGGATATGTAGTTTAAGTAGAGATAGATATGATCTTACGATTGAATGCGATTCATCGACCTGCTACTACACACGCTCTTCAACACGTCCATTGCTCAATTGTGCTTAGCTGACTATTCTTGGAAAGGCGTGAACTTCTCCAAAACGTTCTCCGCGTTCTTCAAATCATCCATCAACACTCGCCTATGCGCCTCACTCCTGACGCGAATCTCACACTCAAACTTCTGCGGTCGGATGTTGAAGCCCTCTGTATACGCAAAGGTATCATACTTGACCCCTTCCTTAGGCTGAATATCGAATGCCCACAGAATCTTTGCCAACGCAATGTACAAACTGTTCTCCGCGAGGTTGGCGCCAGGACAGATGCGCCTTCCCCATCCAAACGAGGAGTGTCCTGATTTCGCCGGATGAGGTTTGCCCGTAAGTGATGTGGGAGCCTTGGAGCGTTCAGCGAGCGCTTCGTCAAGAAAGCGTGTGGGGTCGAAGTGGTGCGGGTTGGGATAATACTCTTCGTTTAGGTTGATGGCCCACGAATTTCCTAGAACGGTAGTGCCAGAAGGGATATAGTAGCCTTCGTAACGATCGTCTTCTGTGGATGCATGGGGTGTGCCACCTAGGACTGCGACGGGACGCCAGCGCAGAACTTCTTTGACGAGAGCGCGAATATATGGGAGACTCGCTTCGTCTTCGAATGTAGGGCTGCGGTCCGCGCCAACAACAGTGTCCAGCTCATGGTGGGCGGCGTGTAAGCTCTCGGGGTGTGTGACCAACGCCAGGAAGGCGGTGCATAACGTCGATGCCGTAGTATCAGATCCAGCGCCAAAGAGAGATGCTGGGATGTAGGAGAAGTTGCGATCCGACAGCGGGATGTGCTCTTTCTCTCGTAGTTCCAGAAGAAGCTTGCATAGCGAATCTGGGATATCGTCACCCTGGACTTTTGCTCTCGCTAGATCCGAGCGTACAACATCCACCAGAGCCATGTTCGCAGCTGCCTCCTCGCGACCACGTGCCTTTATGTCTGCCTTCCAAGGTGCCAGCGCATCGGGAACATGTTTGAGGATAGGGAACGACTCGGCGAGGTACTTTCCGGGTACGTTTAGCGACGCCGCGACATGCATGAACTTGAAGCGCTGGTGGATGACGTTGGCGTTGAGCGAGTCGATGCGATGTCCGTATGCGACACAGAATACGATACTGGAGGTGAAGCGCTCGAGGAGCTTCTCCCAATTCGCAGGGCTTTCGAGCAGCTGGTAGCACAATCGTGATGCCTCTGCGGTCTGTACCGGCTTGTATAGCCTCAGAGCTTTAGGAGTCATGGCCTGGTGTAGCAGCTTCCTCCGCACACTCCACTCTTTACCATATGGCTGTACTAATATACTAGCATTGTCCCATAGTATCTCACCCATGACTACCATACGTGGTCGCGACGAGTATTTTGTGCTCCGCTTCTCCATCAGCTCGACAGCAATGTTCGGATCGGATATGACGATTGTAGGTTTGCGGCCAATCCATATCGTAAAGATAGGACCATAGGTCTTGGACCATCTCTGGAACTCGATCCAGGGCTTCGACTTGGGTAGCTGAAGCTTATTGCCGAGGAACGGGAGAGGCGTGGGCCCTGGGGGCATTCGGAGCCATACCCAGACATCGTGAAGGAGCGTTGCGAGGGGTACTGCGAGGACTAGTGAAAGCCAGAGGTAGGGCGGCAGGTGAAGGAGGGAATCTAGTGCCATGTTAACCAAGTCGCACAAGTGAATAGACGCTGCTACTCTCGAGGGTTGGCGAGGATGTATACGATGATATGTACTTACAACACCGGAGTTA